GCTAACACCAGATGAAGCACAGAACCTCCTTGGACTTTATAGTCTTGTGCTGTCTTTTCATCATTCCTGCAATATGAAAAATGCAATTTGTTACAATATCACCAAACTTTTATCTGCAACTTTATATGTGTGAATTTTGAAAATGGAAAAATATATAACTTCTAAATAGCATATCAAAACAAAACCTATGCCAGATATTTAATTCGACCTTAAACTACACCCAATTTGGTGCAATAATTCTTGCATGATGCTAGAACAAACATATAGATGGACAAAATTCTAAACATGATTATTGTAACTTCTAATAGGTAGATGCCCGCTAGTTTGTGTGTGTGGATTTCAGAAGTAGGAAATCTTATCAAGATAAAACATCAAATTTAACGTTTTTGGATAGTATTGGAACTAATATACAGACAGACAAAATTTTTAAAAATTATTGTTTTGGCTTTTATTAGTTTTATTAAGATTACTTAGATATTTTTTTCTTAAATATCTCTATACCAGAAACCTTGGCTCTCTGACTAATCCTCAGATGGTGTCTGCTTGGAATGAAACTACGTATGAAGCTTAGCACCGTTATCACTGTGCCATAAGTTATTCCAAAGCAGACACAATCCATCTGGACATCATCCGAAAAATAATAGGTAAACATTATGGTGAAACACAGCCAAATTTATGTCAATCCATGGTTTTTATAAATCGGGAACTCCCTAAATGAACCACTTCTCTCATCATTAGATTATGTTTAGACCATGTATCTTCTCTGGTGTATACAAGATATATATACAGATATATATATATAGAATACAAGACAGCTACAAGAATATAACACATAATACTTGAATGCCCCAATATGTCACTTTCTCTGTATGATATTCTCCCCAATAATATTTGTCACCATGTTAATCTATTAACTTTGGTCTGTTTTCCTTTAGTGTATGTCTTAGAAAAATTTCTGTATGAAAATAATATAAAACTATAATATGTTCCTTTAACATTTAACTATTATAAACCATTTTTCCTGAAAAATGCTTGATATAGATACTCAACGAACACCTACAAGCAAATCTTACAGCATAACTGTTAAAACTGCAGTTTCTTCCAACCTTGACATTAGCAAATCATCATCATCAGAGCCCCAATGGAGCCATTTGAATTGACTTTGTACAAAAGTCATTTGCTTGGGCATCTCTGTTTCATTCGTATTTCTACTGTGAAGCAGTTGTGTTTGCATAGCTATGTTTCAGTTTGAAGGATGGGATATAGCAGTGAATTTATAGGGTACAGAGAAATAAAACCTTAGTCCTCAGGATTGACAACACATGGAGGGTATCATGGGCAAAACAGTTTACTCTGTTATGGCCATGGTACTGCTCATGTCTATAGGTGACGGTTACCACTTTCCATTGGGTGGGCTGTCAGCTTATTTGCCATTCTAAGTTACATAATAAAAAAAGAAAACAAAATTTTTTTTCTTCACCATAATTTAGACTACAAATAACTAATGTTTGGTTGTATCTATTTGTTTGAAATTCAGTATCTAATATCAATAACAGGATTTAAAGCTCCATTCCTAACAATATATGGTGGGGCCATAATAATTTCCATATGGCCCTCTTTACAAATGATCATTTAATTCAAGTATTTGTTTTAGTGAATTTATCACAACAGACTTACTTTATTCTTATCAATCATTCTCACTATATCTCCAATCTAGATAGATTGAAATAGTAGGATTATTTTAACATACAAATAATACTTTCAGGAAAAAAGTTACAACTCTTCTATTTTTCAACTCTCTCAGAAGAGAAATTCTTCTTCTATTTTTAAAGTATTATAAAAGTGGAGTTAACTATTAATTAATTATTTCATTCTTGTGTAATATGATTTTTCTGCATTACTTTTAATTAATTTTAAATATTTTGAACATTAAACATACAAAGGCTACTTCTTTAAATTAAGGTGGTACTTATGATTAAAAGTATGGATTATTAAATAACATTTAATATCTACTTTCTATTAAATATATTTCAATTATATTCATATGTATATAAATGTTAGCAGCATTTAATAATTAAATACTAATAAAATGCTGCCATAACAAAAAACGTAGAACTTACATTTGTTTGCCTGAAAATATGAGACGCTGCTGCTGCGGCGGTATTCCTTCCTTTTCCTCTACTCTCTCCTTAATCCTCTCCACTTTATCTGTAGGCTCTATATCTATCTCAATCTCCTTCCCTGTGAGCGTCTGAAACGAATTAAGGTTATAAATTTATATAAAAAAAATCAGGTTGATGCTTAATAATAAAAATATTTAAACATACCTTAACTTTAATCAACATCTTGAAATGTTATATTGAAAAGTAACACGTTCAAATAATACTACTTTAACAATAAAATCTATCAAAACTTTACGATTAGATTTTAGCCGATTGTTTCTTCCAGCCGTTCGACTGACATGACTTGACTTTAAACTGATAATGACAGCTGACAGATAACGTGAATGACAATAATACTAATTTATGACAATCGCTCGCTAGGGTTAAATTTAAATTATTCGTTAATCTGATGATTTAATTGCTTTGTTGTATCCATTAATCAACATTATCAATATAAAATATAATCAATAGTTTTATATTCATATCCACATACATATACCTAATAATGAATTCTTTTTATATATATATATGAAATTATTTAATAATACCTATCGATAATTTATTTACTAATCAGTATAACATTTGAAATAAATGAAATTAGATATCAGGATCGATAAAAATTATTATAAAAAATATTATGACTTAAAGTAGAGGAATCGAACAGTATAACATTACACCATGCCAAAATTAATAATTAGAATAGGAAATTCATTATCTTATTAAATTCCCTGACCCACATCACTGGAAAAAAGTCTGTTCAAAATCTATGCAACCAACTCTATAAAAATAAGAACGCGTTTCTCTTAACAGCTATTTCTTTTATCTTCTATACTTATAATAAATCTGTAGAGAGGTTAATTCTGTACATGAAATATGTATGTTCCATTGTTTCTACCTACCCTAATGGGAGACAGGCGTAACAGATATGTATGTATGTATGTATGAAATATATTTCCAAAATAACTATCAAGGGGCGATTAGTGATCGATACTGATGCCAAAAATGCATTTAGTAAAATTTTTGTCTGTCTGTCTGTATGTTCGTTATAGAAACAAAAACTACTTGACGGATTTTAACGAAATTTGGTACAATTATTCTTCATAATTGTCCTGGGCAGGTTATAGTATACTTTTCATCACGCTACGATCAATAGGAGCAGAGCAGTGAAGGAAAATGTGTCTGTTACATCAAAACCACTAAACCGTGAGGAAAGACATAGGCCACTTATTCTACGAAAAACGATGGAAATACCGACAGTCGCGGGCAACAGCTTATACATACATATTAATGTCCATATTTTAGACAAAATCATTATTATAAATAGTTGTACAAAAAATACTATGTATATTTTATTGCGATAATACTTCTAGATAGTATCGTAGATTTATTTTCCAGCTTAGTAAATATAGAAGCAGTGAAAACTCTTGAATAATATAGTAGGTATAGGTATTTAGCTAAGAACAAGGAATTACATATATAAGAAATGATATAATAAAAACTGTTGCCTTCTTTCTTCTTATACAAATATAATTAGTAAAAAAAGGACGAAAGATACACCATCAGTTGCTATTTTTATGTATTATATGATTTATAGTTTTTATTATTCCTTCTATGTAATTCCTTGTTCTAAGGTCTTTAGACATAGTCTCTTTAATCTGTGACCATAGTCTCTGTAATCTGTGTGTATACTAAGAATATCAATAATATTACTTCTTTTTTTATTTAATTTTTTGTTTTATCGATTCAGTTACAATCAATAATTGAATATTTCTTTATTAATATATATTCAATTATGACTGCGGTTGATCACGTATTCGCACAGCTCATTAAATTAACTCATGAAGGTTAGTACCATTAATACATAAGTTACCTACCTTATTTTAATATAAAATATATTGTACATTACCTAAAACATTATTTATTTTTAATTTTTTAATTAATAGAAAATATTTATGTATACAGTAAATGTACCATGTATCTAAAATTGTTATTTACATATACCTATATATAATGCTATATACTGTAAAGTCCGCCTTTTGTACCATAATTTTTTTTTATCTTCTTTAAACATTTTAGATGGTCAACGAGAATATTTGGCAGTATTATTTACCGATATGAAAGAGAATACTAATGGAATTATTGATAACCAAATAAACGGCTATGATCGTCTGAGCTCTTTCCTAAACAAAATAATTAAAGAAATTGATAACTTATCAGTAGAACTCAATAGAGATGATACTATACTTATAAGTGTTAGAAATCAAAAGTTGTTACGGACATCTTTTCAATTAATTACATCTCTAGGTATTTCACCATGTTTAATACTAGGTTTGGGCATCAGCCTATCTAAAAGATGCACATCTTCAACACTTCTACCAACATTGATGTTGAATGATGAACAAAAATATGAAATGCTGACTAAATGCACAGATTTTTTTTCTAGAAGTTATAAAATACCTGTATTAAAAAATATCATCATGTCACTCCATTTGTCTGACTACTTAGCTGCATTGATACAATTAGCCTTTGCTCCATTAAAAAAACCAGGCTCATATGCTAACTTCACAATGACAAATGATATGTATAATAGACTTGTGGTAGACAGACAGAAATATGTACAAATATATGAACATTTGGTATGCAATTGTTTCCAACCATTGCTTATGAAAGAATTATTGGTATTGCAAAGTGTTAAAGAGCCTTATCCTCCTACATTTGTTAAAAAAACTATAGCAAAGGAAATGAGCCGAAGACTGTTAGTACCTGGTGGATTATTAAGTCTTATAAGATGTTTTATAGAAAGCTACAACATTGATACAGGATATGAATGGAGAAAAATTGACATGATCTCAAAAATTGTCAGTGGTAAACATGGTCCTGGTACTGAGGAGAATTATTTAAACAATATATGCAATCAAATAATGCAAATATTGTCACTGAATAATACTCATTATTTAAGTACTGCAACGGCTTGTACCTTGAGTTTGAAACAAAAATATCCAGAATCCATTCAAGTAAACATGTTAATAAAAGAAATATTTCATGTCTTTGATTATGACTCTTTAGTCTCAAAATCTAATTTACCTGGTACTGTATTATTATCGCCCCAAGAAATTGAGCGCAAAGTTAATCTTTTGTATGCATCTTTTTGTACAACCAGGCTTGATTGTTCAAGTGTATTCTTACTACCGAACTTATATGTTCTTTTCTTACTTGGGGTTAAAAATACTAAAAATGAAGAATTAAATGTTAAATTAAAAGACATTATTTTAAAATCTATTGAACATTTAAATAAAAATGAAATAACTTCATTAATACATGATTTTTTATTTGGAAAAAATAATTCTTCAATACTTATTGAAGAATATGATGCAGGACTTACCATAAAATATGTGACTTCGCAAAAAGAATATGCAAATGAGAATGCCTTAATGTATTTTATAAATATTTTCAAAGCTTCATCTGAAGATAGATTTATTCATTGCGTATTTGAGAGTTTACTGCAATTACTGATTGAATTAAGTATAAAAAGGCAAACTAAACCAAAAAAAGATTTGTTATGTATAGAAGACGATCCTATCCTCTTAGATACTGTTGATGCTAAATACGCCATTACACTTCAGTTCCTATCAGAAATATGTGCATTGCCAAAGATTGTTTCTTCTTTAAAAACAAATCCATCTATAGTATTGAACTTCATTGAGCATTTTATAGTAAAAAATTGTGACACTTCAAATGAAGAATGTATTACCATTGCATTGGTCTTGCTGAATACCATATTGTCTAATTCTAATAAAACAGAATATTTGGAGAAAACACTTAGTGGATTAATTCCTGTATTGAAAGTCATGTCTAGAAATAAAGCAAGTTACAATAATATATTGTGTGAAGAGGCACTGACATTGCTTACATCTAAAGATGTTGATAAATCTGAGACAGAATTCAGTAAAGCAATGTCTGATGTGTTTGATGACCTACTACCAGTAAGAACTCATGGTATGATAGCACTAACTAAACTTATTAATGCTAAAGATCCAGAAGCAATTTCAAAGAAACATTATCTATTCTGTCTATTTCAGGTATGTACTCAGAATTCAACTAGGTATACTTTTGTCTTTGTCTATACTGTGAAATTATGTCATATGAAATTGAATAGCATATATGAAGTAACTACTATCAGTTTGAAACTGTGTTTAGGTAATTAATATATCTATTTATCAAATTTATAGGAGCACCTTAAAGACTCAGATTCCTATATATACCTTTATGCTATTAATGGAATTGCGGCACTTGGCACCCATTGCACTGAAGATGTATTACATGTCCTATGCAAAGAATTCCTTGAGATATCATATGATAATACTCTACAAAATAAAGACAATCAAAATAAAGCAGCAGAATTAAGAATGAAAATTGGTGACATCATAGTAAAAGTAATTAAAAAACTAGGTAAGTTTTGCTGAATGTACAGTGTATATATTTAAATCATAGGTTCTCAATGTGAATGATACTTTTGTGGGCCTTTGAAACTCAAAGGGGCTGAAGAGGACCCAAAGAATTTTTTTTTAAATATAATTATAGTAATAGTTGTTTTAAATTCGCGACAGATTGTAAAAACATATTCGCAAAGTGGCTAGTGAGCGAAATAAGGTTGAGAAACTATGATAATCATATTATTTAAGAATCTAAAGTTATAAAGATTTCGAAAATTCTAACAATATATTACATGCAATGTATTTTAATGATGTTGCTCCTTCTTACGATTTTTTAATGGGTGAAAGTGGAAAAGTAACCCTATCTGTGTTATCGGTATATGCTGGCATAAGATGAAAGCAGATCAATTAGCCCATTATCACAAATTCAATAATATAAACCTGTCAACATATACTGTTAGCGCAAGCAGGCAGGGTTACCATTCCATTATCATCCATTAAAAAAAAAACAGGATATATTGCTAGCAATATAACTGTTATATCTCATTACTAACAATCCTTTCTCCCTCCCTATACAATTCTTTCTTAATGGATGAAGATAAATTGGTAACTCCAAGAAGGCTGTAAGCTTCCTACTCTCTTATTAATTGATATAAAAATTAATATACTTTCCAACTTCAACACCACAACCGAAATTTAAGTACTTTCTTTGCTTTATTACAGGTGATATGGCAGTAGTGCATAAAACATTACTGTTGAACACAATACTGTGTGGTTGCAGGGATGATGATCCTCTAATCAGAACATCTGCATTGTCCAACTTGGCCGAAATTGCTTTAGTTTTGCATTACAGGATCGGATCCATTATTTATGAAGTAGGTATACATATGGTTATTTTTGTGTTAAACGGATTTATTTATCTATGTAAAACAAAATGTAGTTTTATATTTCACAGATTATCAGTTAACTTGTAAGCTTATAATGTCACCTTTGATATACGAATATATAATAATATATTATGCTAGATCTATCATATATCAATACATAAAATATCCTATATGCTAAGTTAAGATATATGTGTACCAGATTTTATTCAAATCTTTTCAGTAGTTATTACGTGAAAAAGTAACAAACATGCATTAATCGTTACAAACTTTCGCGTTTATTATATTAAATAGTATTATTGTTCCTTTCTATTGGTATTCTAAATGGTTGGAAAAAATAATACTATATATACGACGACTTCCGTCGCCTACGTTTAATGGATAATAATGAAATGGTAATCCCGCTTCCGCTAACGGTATACACTAGTGGGGCACCAGTAAGGGGTGATAGGTAAGAATGAAAAAGCAGGTCAGTTAAGTGTTAGCAAAGGGACTGATAGTTCGCTATTGCGATATCTTATATCGATAGATTCATAAAACAATCGACCTGAGTCATCCCATAATATTCAAGTGTCCAGGGTTGTAGCTTACAATTGTTTATATATATATATATATATATATATATATATATATATATATATATATATATATATATATATATATATATATATATATATATATATATATATATATATATATAGTTTATATAGTAATCTTCATCTGTAACGACATATATATAAAAATAATGATCTAATATTATATTTTATTGTAGGTATTGCACTGTATTTGGAGTATATTAGAAACCGACAAAGCAATAGAATGCAGACGTGCGGCTGTTATGGTGATAGCGAGCTTACTCAAAGGTTTAGGTAAAGAAATATTAATAGAGCTGAAAGAAAATCTACTACCAATATATAGAACTTTAAAAGCCCTCTACAGAGACAACAATGAAGACCAGGTGTTGAGACTCCATGCCCAATTAGCATTGGAAGAATTGAACGACATAGTTAAAGAATTCATTTTTCCTGAAGTAAAATTCGATAAACAGATATTTATTCTTGATAGTAATACCTAATGTATTATATATATATATATTTTCTAAATATATAAATTAAGTGATTTTCAACCGATTTTTTTATCCCTCATATTATCCTTATTACGTAGATTCAACATACGGATCGTTCCACAGGGTTTTTTTTTTTTTAATTTATGATAAAAGGTTAACTTCGTCTGCCCTATTGATATACGCTAGCTAATCAGGAAAGGATGAAAACCCATCATGATGAATTTAACCATGTACTGCTCATGTCCATAAGCGACGGTTACCATTTTCCATCAGGTGGACCATCAGCTTGTTTGCAATTCTAAGTTGTATAAAAAAAAAAAATTAACCACGAAAATTTTCAAGGCCGTGCTCGTAGTGGTCGACCTGAGGGATATTGTTAATATTGGATCTAAATTTCGTGCTCGACATTTGACATACACGGGTAAAAAGATTTCTTCATACGAGAAAAACGATTTTATCGGAATTTCAAAGTGATATTAGATTCGCTGAAACATATGTACATCATCATATCAGAAATATTTTAAACGAAGAAGTCTAATTTTTTTCACTTAGTTTTTTAAACCTAAGGCAAATTTTATTTATTTTAAATTTTGGTATTTAAAACTTAACACTAAGTCTATAATTCATACTAAATATAGTTCATGCAAATCAAACTAGACGTTTGTTTCTTTGTTACGCTACAGGGTACCAGTGAAGGGTGATAGATGAGAATGAAGGTAATTCAGTTGGCCCATAGTGATCAATTGAACAAGAGTTAACCACTATGGTTTCCAGGGGGAACCGCATGTAGGTCGACCTGATAGGGTATATTGCTAGCAATGGGGTTGTTAAATCTCATTATTAACAATCCCTTTCCCCCCAACCGTCGCCTATTAACATGAACAGTAAGTACCATAGACGTTACAGTATACTGTTTCGCTCATGATACCCCCCATGCGTTGCCATTCTTAGGAAATAGAAATAAGATGGTATGCCTTTGTACCCTGTAAATTCACTGCTTGCTTTATGGTGGAAACGCGAATGGGACAGAGATAGTCAAGCAACGAATTTTGTATAAAGTCTCCCTATGGTATATGACTCGTGTAAAGCAGATGTTTTAAACCTCCTTTTAACTAGTTATAATGACAAAGACTAATTATAATATTAGGTCGTATAATTCATTTGAAGTTATTACAATATTCCCCGCATTAGATAAATCCCATAGATTGTGAATACCTACGATACATTTACAAATTCTGAGCCAATTTCGATAATTTCATTTATTGTCGACAAGATTTTACTTCCTACTTAGTCCCACACCAATTTTGTTACGATAGAATTAGCTTTTTTTTTTTTGTAAAACAAAACAAATAAGTCACTTTTGTTCAATTACTATCTGAGTTATTCTTATTGTTCTTTTCAACAGAGACTTCTTGTTTGTAATGTCTGTATTCTGGCTTCAACTCCCACATATTCTTATGTGGATTTTTCGTATTATAATTGCAGACTTCTTTCAGTATTTCCTTCAAGTATTCCATAGGCTGCTTTGTTATCTGTAAATAAAAGCATATTTTTTTATTAAACTGTTGCATTTAATATATTATTTATTACAGAGGTGCCAAACTCAATTTTGCAGAGGGCCATATATTAAATTTTTAATTCGTAGGTGAGTCTGATTGTAAATAAAAAAAAAAAACTGAATTATTATAACATTTTATTTATTAAATTATATAAGTATATAATATACGGTTGTTAAAAATCATATCAAAGTTATAAAAGATGGTTGATGATTATGTTGAGCTCGAGGGTCGGAAGCGGCCCGCGGGCTGTACCTTTGACATGACTGATTTAATACATCTGTTAGTTATTCCGGCCATAGCTGGTTACTCAGCTCAGCTCAGCTTGATACTGTATGGACTTACTCTTTACTATCCTTGTATGAATAAATATTGTAAACTAGCTATTTTCCGCATCTTTGCATACGTGAATCAATACATAAAATATCCTATGTAATAATTTAGGATATAACCTATCCATGTACCAAATTTTATTCGAATTCATCCATTCGCTGGTTTTTACTACAAACATCCATTCATTCATCCTTACAAACTTTAGCATTTGTAATATTAATAGGATGTGTTAGTTTATTACCTCTTGATAATGACTTAACTACACATATTTAGGTAATATTTAGCTTTCATCTGAGTTTGATAATGTATTTTTACATGCAAATTCAGCGGGTCTACCATGAAATGAAATTCCGAAATTTCGGATTCAATTTTGTGTTTTTGTTTATACCAACATCGGACCAATAAATGGAGTTTAAAACCCTATCATAAAAGTCCAAAGGAACAATATTTTAACATTTTTAGTATTTCCAAACAGCATGTATTATGTAATTTTAACATTAAATTTGTGCTTCGTTTGGCTCCGAAATTTCGGAAAACATTTCATGGTAAGCCCTCAGATATATATTTTCCCCTCCTTAAATTCTTCCACCGTTAAGAGATACTACAATATAATCGGAGAAGGGCATAAACTACTTTTTGTCTCGATCCATCCCGATAGGTGGATAATTTCGCTCTTAGGTACATACAGTTTGAATTGTTTTGCAGTTTGCTATTTTCTCTATCAATATTTGGAAGCTGTAGTTTTAACTTCACTACGTACCCGATGCAAATCTTTAATATTATAGTACTGATATTTTTCAAATGCAGCAAACAACATGTTGAGTACTACATCTTTGTTGTCTCTCATTTTCTTGCCTTCAGCCTTTTTCTTTAAACTATATTCAATCTGAAAATAAGAAATTGTTTAGTTAAACGCGTTTAACTTTTTATGCTTCTTGTCGAGGATTTTAATAATAATTTAACGCCTTTTTTACATACAACTTATGGCCCACCTAATGTAATAGACAAATAGTACCAGGGGCATCACAGACTACTCTCATGATGATCAATTACGTTTGTATCAGACGACACCTCTTAAACCTATGCACAGCACATGCATCGCACACAGCAGATAAGCATAGCTAACTTGACAGCGTAAACACAGGCTTGACAGAAGTACCAAGACACTTTTAAACAGTTTCCCTCCGGTGGTGGTCAAAATAATTACCTATTATTAATAGTAGGCCTCTCGCGCCTCATTTTTGTCACGACTCACGGTAATAAACGGCATTTCTAATGTCAGAGAATACACTAATTGTTGTAATTATTGAGTACGGATTAAATTATTGTTTCTTATGTGGTATCTACCTACTCAGATGACACACGATTGATAGCGATCTGGGCCAACTTCGCATGGATAGATAAAATTTTTGGAAACGATAAGTCTATATTATTTACTGATAATGTAACTTTCTATAGGCGAAAGAACTTTAAAAATCGGTTTTAGTAGTTTTTTAAAGTATTTATTATAAACAAGCAATCAAATCCTCCTATTTATAATATTAGAATAGATTCGTGCAACATATACACAAAGATTAAACATAGTCAAATTAAGAACCTGAGGGTCTACCATTAAATGTTTTCCGAAATTTCTGTGCTATACGAAACAGAAATTTAATGTTGAAATTACATAATACATGCCGTTTGGAAATATTAAAAATGTTAAACTATTGTTACTTTTGACATTTATGATAGGATGTATGACGAAAGAAATTTTAAACTCCATTTATTGGTCCGATTTTGGTATAGACAAAAACACAAAATTGAGCTCGAAATTTCGGAATTTCATTTCATAGTAGACCCGCTGTTTTCAGATATAGGTTTCGATAAATTTTAAAATTAAACTTACATCATGTCTATGAACTGAGATGGGCTTAAACTTAGGTACAACTTTGGCCAATTGCTGAACTTTACGTTGAGTCATTGAAGCTTTTTTAATAGATTCATATTTTAATTTATAATAAGTGGAATCGGCATTTGGTTTACATTCCAGTTTTTGTACATTACGACCTTCCATATAAAGCTTGTCTGATTCAGGCATAACAGCATCTGCAATTGTGGCTATAACAATAAAAAAAAATAGACAAATAGGTATCTTAAATCATAGTATGTTATTATCGATGTAAATAAAAATGAAAGTTATACTACGTTAAGTTATAATAATACTTACGTACAACATGAGAAAATACACCCAATGTTTGTCTTGTTACGTTGGACACATCCAGATGATGTTCTTTTGGTATACTCTGCTCACCAGGATCTTTAAGACACATCACTGCTTCCGACAAGGTTAGCTGAACCTGCGCCTTTTGTCCAGGTACGCGAGTTATTTTCAGTTTCCCTACTTCGATATGGCCTGAAGCTGTATCCCATTTATTTGCAATATACTTTGGTACTTTTACAAGCCATACCCCCCTGCCCGTGTTCGATAAATCTAATTCGCGGTCAATATGAGGATCGTTATTATCATTACTCATGTTATTACCTAGACAAATTAAAATCAGATTTATAAAAATGTACTTTACAAGTTGTTAAATTGTAAATGAATTCGTCTCGATGGGGTAACTGACGTAGCTTCATACTCATTTATCATTTTTCACAGATGCTACGCCAGCTCACATTGATAGCTTAATAATGTAAGTGAGATTAGGTAGTTGGAAGCCATTGTCGACATCTATTAAAAGTACAATTTCCAGGAGGAGACTTTGCACAAAAGTCATTTGCTTGGGTGCCTGTGTTCCATTCGTATTTCAACCGTGAAGTAGTTGTGTTTGCATTACTATGTTTCGGTTTGAAAAGTGGAATATAGAAATGAATTTACAGGGTACAGAGGCATAACACCTTAATCCTTAGGAATGGCAACGCATGGAGTATATCATGAGCAAAACAGTATGCTCTGTTAAATCCATGGTACTATCAATTTGTATAAGCGACGATTACCACTTTCAATTTGATTGGCCATCAGCTTGTTTGCATAAAAAATATACATGTCTATTAAAAAAAAAACTATAGGTACAGGTATACCAGTAGGTACACTAAACCAGTAGTACTGGTATAAATGAATCAAAATAATTCAATTTTAAAAGTTTATTTTATTTATCACACTTTGTAGCCTTATAATTAATTATAACATAAATATTTATCGATAATCACTCTAATTAGAACGGACTATTTTAATGGAATGAATTCGCCTCTGTAGGTCCAAGTATTTCTATCTATCACCCATAGGTGCATATAATTTTGCTAACACAAGACAGCGGGGTTCAATGCCCGGCTGGCAATTGCAAAGAATAGTAGAATTAATTAATTACAAGTTAAAGTGACCACTCATCAATATAAGGCGGCAAATATGTAAGTTTTGCCCAGAATGTAAATACCTATTCATTTTTGCTTGAAGCGGCAAAATAGCTAGATTAAAACTTGCACCACAGTTATGAGTATAACTAACGGAAAACTGAACGTTTACACTATATCTACTATAAATGATTATAATTATAGCGTATTTCGATAATCATCAGTCATTTGTATGTCATGACTGATGAAATTAACTGACGGTGACTCTAATCACTACCTTAGCGGGTTTCACAGTAATTTTTTTTAGTATAAAATAATCAAAAAATGATGAGTAAACAATCGATATCATGCGCCCATCAGAGATCCCATCACGTGTTCACCATTATTATTTCAGCTAGTCTAAACATAATTTAGACTGCCATAAGAAATGGCTCAAGTTTATCTGCATCCGTTTGAACCCCTGCAACACATTTATGGTCGTCGCTCAAACTAGTGAAGGTCATCCTATAACCAAATACCTGTTGTATAGGTAATCAATTTCTTCGAGCACTACTCGCTCAGGTTTTCGTTCTTTACCCGTGATATAACTATGTGCAAAAAATGCAACAACTTGAGCGTTATAAATACTGTTAATTAACTCTTCCTTGCAAATTTGTTTTATAAGTACCTACTTAATATTTAATAAGATACAGACAGATGTACTTAAAATAAAACAACACATTGTATGTATGTGTATGAGATGATAATATTAGATTTCTAGCACGTAAAATTATGTGTTTATTGTGCAAAATGAAATACTGGCCATATGTAAACATAAAAAAATAATATACCCCCTCACACTAATAGTATCTAAGGGATTAAAAATTGACTGCACAAATTATATAAAGATTCATTTTATATGCCAAGTGCTATAGATAGGCATAATGTAGTTTCGCTAGCGGGTTATACGAAATGGAATATATTATGATTCAACTAAAGTGGCTTCTTTAACCTGTGGTAAAGGAATTTTTAGTAATGGGGACTAATGTCCCAATTGCTAGCAATATATTCTGACAGGTCAACCTCCTTGCGGTTCCCCGTAAAAACCATTCGTAATTTATTCTTGATATATTCGTCACCATTGGTCAACTGATCTGCTTTCATCCTCACTTATCATTCCTCACTGTCCTGCCAGCGTATGCTGTTAATGCAGGCGAGGTTACCATTTCATTATCGTCCATGAAAGAAAACCCCTGTACATAATTTAAAGGTATTAAAGAGCTATTAGTTCTTCTATACTTAATATGTTCTATCCTTTCTGGTGGTGCATATCACCAACAGGTAACCGTCTTACCTATTCATAAAATATATAATTTCATTTCATAAACAAATATTGCTTTTGGCAACAACTTAGTAAGTTCTAATTATGTTTATGGCCATAATATGTGCAAACACGTGGACACAATCTTATTTAACATAAGTAGCCATATCAATTTATTTCATGCCTCAGAAGTGTTATCTCCATCATTCGGTTTCTTCGCGATACCTTCGTCTTTTTCAGACAGCGTAATAGAGTAAACGGAACTTTGGTCTGAGAATCTGTCTCGGTTCCTTCTGCCAAAAATACTGCTTCTAGAAAGAGATGAAACAGTGGCTATCGAAAGGTTATCTCTATCAACCTGAGGGACCATCTTCCATATAAGCAAGGCGATGCCACCAAACGCAGCCACGACTAAAAACATCACTAACGATATTTCACCAAAAACACCTGAAAATAAATAAATATATTAAATATATTATTTACATGTTATATACCTACTATCCAAATATAATCGATTCTGAAACACCATTATTTGTCACAAAAATTTCAGTTTAAAATTATTATTATTATTCTAAGGATCACTGTAAACTAAAAAGTATAAATGTACTTAGTCAAACAGAACTAGTTTTTTTTTCTTACTATTATTGTAGGTGATCCATAACATAAGGATTTCGTTAAATTACTTTTTAATCTGTTTGTCTTTCATAAAAATATTCATAATATATTTACTGTAAATACTATTAAATAGATAAATGGAATGAAAATTTTATTTTTACAGAATGTTTACGGAATAATGCTCCAGAATCGACCGACGTAGATCTTATTTACTTTGTTGCATTTCTTCTTTGCGTGCCTCAAGCCTGGCCGGTTGTAACTCATTGTAATCTAGATCTTGATTGTCGTAAGGTTCCGCATAACCAGAGTGATGTTTTATGTGATGAAGCACATCTCCAGGATTAGCTTTCGGCAAATTTATCCCAGCTCTAACCGTTAAAGTCTCCGGTTTATATGTACATAGTACCAGAAATCTGGAATACATAATTGCAATATTTATACGATTAATTTAAATTTAGGTACGTTTTTATTTACTGCCTCTAAATTCATTTACAATTACATTAATGACAGAATTTTTTTTAAACTTGACTAAAAATAAAAAAAAAAAACAAAATTAATATGGATCTAATACAAAAGTAGATTTCAAAAGATACGTCCCATACTCGTCAAATCCTTCATCATGCCCTTATATCTACAAAATGCGCTTAATCATGTGAACGTAGATGTCGCGAATTTAGAACAAACGATAGTTTAATTCATCGGTTTAATACATTAACACATTATAATACAAATACTCTTATCTACAATAACTTACCGTCTAGTACTGTGTGTGAGAATGGGTAGATTCTCTTGTACAATGACGTATGTTGCTACTGTTGTTTCATTCACCTCGGATCCACATTCGTCATGGTGTATGCGCAGTATATACGCGTCCTGGGCACTATTAGGGTTACCCTGAAGAGAGCACCGCTCTGGACCTCCATCAACGGCCTCCACAGCGATGCGACCTCCAAAATATGGCCCAGTGGATACTTCGACTTCACTCGCATGTGGTAAGCATTGTGTTGCCCGGGCTGAAACTGATTATAATATGGTTTTTATACTAAACATATATTGATAAATAATTTTAATAAATAAAACTAACACGACAATATACCAGCAATCTTATACTATCTCTTATATCTCTCAAAATATCTCATGTCATAGAAAATTTTGTTTTGCATATTTTTAAATCAGTTTATTTTTTTTTTCAAATCGGCCTAGAAATTAAGATAAATTAAAATTTAAAAACATAAATGAAAAATAAACATTATTTTTTAAATACCTATATGTAGACATGTTAAGGACTAGGGTTGAATATTAAGTTCACTACAACAGCAACAGTCAACAAATATCATCGCTATCTTAATAGATCATGTAATTATTAATCGTGGGCATATTTCTTTATTTCAGTTTACTTTGTGCTTTCAATATCTGGTACTCAAATGTACCCTGCATTATGAGAAAACATAATAGGCAATGGTTATCATTTTCCGTCAGGTCTACTTGTTTACTATTCTGAGTTCCATAAAAAAAAAACTATCGTTGTATTTCGAATTATATTCTTTCCGTTTACACCTGACATAAACAACAGTAACTAGTATGAAAAACATAAAACTCACATCCTTTTGTTGGTACTATAATTATTTTGGAACCAATTGAGTGTGGGTCAGCAAGGTCGCGCGCGTCGCGCCTCACAGGGCGCACTTCGAATGAATACGTCGTCGCCATACGCAAACCCGTGATTCGAGTGCTGTAAACCCGCCCATGCCGACCACTCACTGGCTCAGCTGTGGACATCGACGACGGTGAAGTAGTGGTAACTCTCTTCGGGGACTGGACTGTAGTCGTCGATGGATCTGTTGTAATCTTCGTTAATTTCTCCTCTTCTAAATTATCTATTACCTGAGAAGACATATAATATGTACCCATTATCTACTATCCGTAAGGACATTTTATAAAAATCTTAGTAGCCATTTTAAGTAACATAAGGAATCATTAAATGTACCATGGTGTTTCAATTCGAATACCTAAGATAACCACACTTTGACATTACACCTTATTTCCTAGGACTCAGGAGTAGTCCACACATGAGAGATGCTATGAGCACAAACCAGAGCTGTTTACTCTGTACTATCCATGGTGTTGTCTATATCCATACACGGCGGTTATTGCTATATACCAGGGGGATGTCAGATTATTTTTTAAACTCTGCAATTACTGTATTTAGAGAAAAATTAAGAAAAGATTATTATAATTATGGGTATTTAATAAAATCAAGATGCGTATAATCGTGGCGCCACAGGCATGTAACTATGATAACAATGTCGTGCCGTTGTTACGGCCGGCGCGCATACCCAGCTTCATTATCTCCCGTTTCGGAGTGCAAACTCATTATAGAATTTAACAAGCTTCAAGATAAGTACCTATTGGTGCCGCGCCTGCGCATCAAGATGTATGGTCCAGATAAATTGAGAACATGCATTTTATAAGTAGATATCTATACAGAGCCTATTTATTAATATAGGATAATTTTCTTAATAAGCATTCATTAAACTTACTTTATGTTTAATAACATAACCAAATCTAAATTGTTTTCTTATATTGAATTAATAGACTAATTTTGAATTTCCATTTTTAATCTTACCCATCATATAAGAATTAATAAATAGCGAAATTGTTAAAATTTTTATTCCATCACTAGCTGTTAACCCGTTACTTTTATGCGTGGATAAAGCAACCAAGAGGAATAAGGAAACCAACGAAATAGTCGTTGTAATAATAATTTATATATATTTTAATATTGTTTTATCATCTTACAAAGACTAATGAATACAAATAGTTTTTTTTTTTGCTTTGTGTGCAAATATCTAGCTTCCAAGCTCTCTATAATCCTCTATAGTAAATGTGCTAGTAATAGATAGATACCTTCGTACGACATCGATATTGTCCCCAAGCTTGCAGTTCACAGTAGTGTATTTGGAAGGCGAGTAATTTAGGACGCTCTTCATCCCCTTTCCCGTATTCCCAACGCAGTCGAACGTCCCGGAAGTCTGGCTCCCCGATCAGATGCAATACTTCTGTAAAATTACATTAATGATTAAGTAAGCGAACTGTATTATTTACTAAACGTCCAAATAAAGTAAATTTGATTATAAACATTATTATTTTCTTGAAACCTATCAGTAAGCTACTTCTAAGGGATCTACTCAATACAACATTATATCTTAATTCAACTTTTTACATTATATTTACTCTTTACATTGTTTCCATTGTTTAATATTGCCTAATTTTCTAGTGGGACGTGGGATCATTTGTCATCCAAAATTGCATAAAAAATTACTTAGCAGTAATAATAACTGTATTTACCAATAACAACAATTAAGTTTTCAACAGAAAATGTATAGCTGAACATCGAAGTATAATCTAAACGCCCAAAATAAATTTATGGTATATAATAACAATATGTTTTGTATTAAATCAAAATATATCTATATATGAATATAGTTTATAGCTAGTTACGAAGCAATAATTGTTACCGAGTATTTTCACTTTTTTCACGGTAAATTATCACTAACGACACCGTTTATCAAAAAGTGGATCACCGATGCAGCCACCCAAATTAAAGAGATGACTGTGCATGTTTGCACCAATTTACTTAGATGTTGGAAAGTTGTTTGATTTTTTCGAATACCTCCTCAATTATGTGTAGAACCTAATTACTCTTATATATATATATATATATATATATATATATATATATATATATATATATATATATATATATATATATATATATATATATATATATATATATATATATATATATATATATATATATATATATATATATATATATATATATATATATATATATATATATATATATATATAGGATATGTTTCAGTCATTAGCTGTGGCTGATTTACACATTTGGTGTCAGTATGCTATTCAAATTTTAAATACACTATCGAGACTTAACGCGACGTAAGTGTAGGTAAATAGTACCTATATTTAATTTCCGACGTTTCGACGTGAATTGCACTGGCGTGATCATGACTGGGTTGAAGGGAGCGACGTCTTCTTCTGGCAACTCGCGTAGTTTCTTCGGCCACCCTCACAGTGTCACTATTATTGTCTACATTACCCTACACAACGCATTCACGTTATCCACATTGCGTTAAATCTACTGTAGAGTACTCTTGGATTTTCTATATAACTCTGCCGTAGCGCTAGTATGTAGTATATGGCTTTAAAGCCCTTTTGGAAGCCAGCTTGATCAGGTGGCTAGAAGTTGTCAAGTTTGCGCGTAAGATGATTGGTAAGGACTTTCTAAAATAGTACGTAAACGCCAATTAGACAGTCATGATGAATTCCCCAAGAATTAACCACGATGGTTTCCAGAGGGAGTGTGAAGATCGACCTGATAAAATATATTGTTAACAACAGAACTGTTAAACTCTAATAATAACCTTCCCCCTCCCCCAGATTAGGTTAAGTAAATTTAATAATGTACCTTTCTTTTATAAAAAGAAAGGTACATTTTTCTTTTATTTGTGTGCTTTTATAAAAAACAAAACAAATACACAACGGTAATATTACATTGAACATTTAATATGAGGTCAAAGCCAATAATTTTTTAAGGCCTCGAAATGGATTAGCCTGCGTCGAAACGAATGTAACCTCGAGCTCGTGTGTGGATGTAAATTGTATGGACGCGATTTGCTGATATTGTATAACTTACGACCATTTTTGCCACAAATTTTTGCTATTGCACTACAAATATTCAGACTGTCTGTTCACTGTAAAAGAACTTCTACACAAAATTTCTATCAGCTTTATAAGCAGAGTTTATAAGTAGACGACAACTTCATATACCCCCAAAGAGTAGAGTGCAAATATTTTTTATCGCTAATTGCCTATCATATTAATAAACTACACGTAATATTATTACGTTATTTACATTACTTAAGTATTTAAGCTATGTTTATTCGATATATAATATATTACGTTGATACACTGTTAGATATACTGACATATTGTGACGGATGTGATGATGAGCAGGCATGACCTGACGACTGGACCGTAACGTCTATTGTGGGTGACACGTTCGCTTTATGGTTGTGTACATCCAATGTACTTACACTATGTACATCATGATCACTTAATATTATAAATAAGGACTAAACAACATGATAGGAACTACTATACTTATTAAACGTATTAAAAGTATATTGTTATAGGTTCCTACCTACCTACCTACCTACCTACCTACTTAAATAAATAGCCATACAAACTCACTAATAATTGCCGGGCCCACAAATTACCTACTGGATAATGCAAGAGTACCAATATCCTATATATTTCCTTTTTTTTTTTGATAAGTGAAAATGGCATGATAGTATATGTATAGTAAAGGTATGTAGTATATGTATAGTAAACTGGCAAAGCACCAGTGAGTGATGATATGTGAAGAAGAAAACAGGCAATGAGCTCATTGTAAAGAAATCAACAAGAATTATTTATAACGGTTTCAGTAGGAACCGCGTGAAGAGTATTCTATATTATGAAAGTTGACAATGAAAATATGAAGCCAAAGAACATTTAGAAACAAAAATTTAGAACAACCACTCCGCCATGGTATTAGTTATTATTTCGACTCTAAAAGATGTCAGTGATTTGCACCGTTGATCTCTTTTTATTCGAATCTGGTCACCACGATCGCATTGTACTCTTTCATACTAAATCTCTAGTAATACAAATCTCAGTAGGCTTGCCACACGCCACATTTATTTGCAAATACACTTATCAAAATATGGAGAAGAGCAATGAACAAAATGCCTATTGACTACTTTTCCTGATATTATAACTGTAATCATTTTTTTTTTTTGTAATAACTTACAAATCTATAATAATCCAACTTAACATTCCAACATATATCATTAATTTAACTATAAAAAAAGAAATAAACATTATTTTTTTAAAACTTTACTCTTATAATTTGGCTTTATCGTCGCACTAATGAATTCGTCAAAATAATTGTCATATGACATTGGGTTGTGGATATTTGATATGTTGTTTAATATGGTGTATCAGTTATAGTTGATATGTTGACGACTGCTGCAAATACCTTGGACTGCCTTCCGAACTAACGTTTCCATTCTGAGCGAACTGAAAATCAGAGAGAGATTATCTTCGACTGTTCAAATACGAATTTTCAAGTACTTCGACCATATCATCCGAAATGAAAATTGTATGGAACCTTTAATTGTGCAAGGGTCGGTACAAAGCAAACGTTCTCGGGGTAGATCATCAACACGATGAACTGACCTCATCAAAACGGCCACACAGCAATCAATTGTGGAATGCTCTCGCTCGGCTGTGTGCAGAAGTAGATGGAGACACGATGCGATCAATCGCGATGGAGGGGCTCATCGACGATCCACTATCATTATAAAAACCACTACCACTCTGTGAAAAGTGTACGATTGAAGAGTTATGTATACGAGTTTAAAGGGAGATATGATCATATGATATCTAAAGTTATCTCAATGAAATTACCGAATACGAATAACGTATTAAACACATCCAATGAGGATAGCTGGCAGTTTTTATATTTTATTACCATTATTGAACTAGTCATCTGACTATTTCAATAATTCTTATTTATCTTTTGTTTTACATTTCACTCGTAACACTGTACTCTGTTCAAATACACGTCTTAAAACCTCTCCTTTTTATTATTTAGACACATAATTAGTATCACATAAATAGCTATTCTTTAATAATAATAATAATGTGTTCTGTGTCTCATTGTAGTGATCAGGTTTAGAGGGAACAGTTACTATTTTTCCTTACCTTGTTTAACATTCCAGCTTTCATAAAAGAATCTCGTTTAATAATCTAGAATTATGTCTCAACCATACATTCTAGTTCAGACATAATAAACATCCAAATATATCTATTGATTAACTTTCATATTATTAAATTATGTTAGTAGGATAGATAGTAGGATACTTTTTATGCTTTCTAAGTATTATTTTATAAATTATTTATGACGAATGTTCTGGGCGTGGGCAGGCCTCAGCATTGTGGCTGGTGAGTGACGCGAAACGCAACTAACTAAACAAAGCATTTCACGCGTCGCCTCGCACTCTTCCTGTTCTCCGTTTATGGGGCCATCTGATTTGGAATCAGGAGGTGTCATCGCTTAGTAGTGAACAATTTTATTTATGTGAAGCGTACTTGTTTATCTATTTTAAAGCCGTCTACTTATACTGACTTTGACCGAAGTAGAGAAAGCCCATATAATGCACTATTATAATCTATCATCATATCAGCCGTTAACTGTCCACTGCTGAATATAGCCCTCCCCCTATTGGTGGATTTTGCCAGTAGTTGCCGCGCGTGTCAGGCGGGTTGGCAACCGCAGCTAGGTTTTAGCGATATTTAAAGCGATGCGCTGCTACCCATCTCTTGATCATTACATTCCATTAGTCGCCTTTTACGATATCCATGGAAAAGGAAGAGATGGCATATTCTATGCCGGAACCATACGGCTTTTCCATACTTGTATATAAAGTTTATCTTCTCTTTATCTCTAGGTAAAGATAAAGACAAGAGTATAGTTTTTTTTTCAAACTTTATTGTATATTCATATTTAAACAAAAAAATAACTGGTTTGTTTATCGAAAATTAAAGTGTTTACCTTTATAAAATAAGAAATGTTATCAATGGGAAATATTAATAACGTAAATACTACAATATAAAAAAAATCTACAAAACAGATGGCATTATTGACACCGTGAACTATTGGAGCTTTGCCTATTTATAAAAAAATGGACCGTGATGATATGCATCAGTGAGTACACGTTCAAGAATTCCATACCGCAATTGTTTCGAAGACTACCTATAGGCCGTTGAAACTCCTATCAACTAGTTATGTGTCTTCGCGGCATTATCATTTATTGTTTACTAACAATTTGTAAAAATCGTGTCTCCCTCGTAAAGTGGGCCAAATTAAAACCGTTCTAGATATGCATTAATTTCACAATGACGATGAATTACCTACTCTCACTTA